AAAATGTTTTGAAACATGTACCTTTGAAAAAAATGAAGTCAACCCAGCTTTCCATAAAACAACCAAAATTAAAATTAAAGTGCCACTATGAGACAAATTAAAAGATGTGGTTACATGTGCTATCTAGGCAAGCCAAACCATAGAGCCTGGAAGTAGTCTGTTTCCAGAGTCTGTCCTATAAATTGCTAAACCATTCAAGTAGGACTATGATATATTTCATTTCTTAGACATGTTCCTTTTTAAGTAACTTAAATGATGAAGGAGATTATAAGCTACAGTTTGATGAAAAGCACATTTATCTGCTGGGTTTTATATCTAAAATACAGCTTTGTAGTTTATCAAAAATGAAGCGATAGTTCCTAGAACCTTCTAAACTGGATCGTTATCAAGTCTTGTGTTAGAAGCATATGGCCATTTTTCACGTATGTGAGCAGAACGATTCAGAAACACGAAACTACCATTCTTCTCTACCAGTTTATAGTCATATGGGCATGTGTTATGAGGGAGAGGTTGATCATATCATGGCACTGGATAATGACCAAGGCTTTTTTCACCTGGGTTGATTTATTGACTACAGAAACTTTTTTTTTTTTTAAGACTACAAGCTTAAGAAACAGTTAACATTATGTCTAAACCTTCAACACTGCATCAATTCAATAAATCTGAGTAGTTCAAGGATAACTCAGAAGTAGAGTTATCAACCACTCCTTTATAATACCTGATACCAACCACTGTTCTTACTTCCTCACCTGAGCTGATTTACTGACTAGGTAGGTTATGTGTGCCTGTGTTTTAAGAATAGAAACTTAAGAACCAACTACACATTGTATCAAAACATGCAACAAGGTATCAGTTCAATAAATCTGAGCAGTTCAAGGCTAGCTCAGATAGAAGTGTTATCATCTCCTTTATAATTTATGTTACCGAAATGGTGGCTGTAGCATTTTACCTTCCACGTATCTGATTCCTGATCATCGGTGATACTACTATGACCAAATTTCAAACCCAGTTGAAGAGCATTAAAATTTGTTAACATTCAGTCTGAACCATTTTACTATCATTAAGTTTACATTATATACAAGTTCTGTTAATTTTACCCTCAACAATACCTAGCACATGGGAAAAGTGCAAAAATCACAGTTAAGAGAAATCTCCAATTGATTAAATGACCAAATGGATATTGAATACTATACCATGTATCAGGTTCTATGCCAAATTCTGAATACAACTGTTACCAAAGCTGACAAAGTCTTTCTTAATGAACTAGGAAATTTCTGCAAAATTTGACAAATAATACTTCAATGTTTTACGCTTGTAAAAGCATATTTTTTTTACCTTTCTTATATAATGTGTCAAAATAAAGCCAAGAGGAAAAGTTCCAACAATGCATGGGTTAAACCTGTGTGTTTTCTACAAAATTTAGGTAGTATTTTGAGAAAAGAATTTGCTTTCAAATGGTTCATATGATAAGGCACATCCCTATCAATTTTTTAGGATCCAATTAAAATTCAAAGAGAAGCCTCTGTCTGATTTAATTTCCTGATGAAAATGAGCCAGTACACTTCACTTACTAATAAGCCTATAATTTGCACACTGATTCATTGATGTGTCTGAACCAGATTTAATCTTCTGCCTTTACAGTTTCTCGGCATCCATTACCTGAAATTTTCTGAAAACTTATTAGTTCTACCAAGGCCACACACACACAAATTCTGAACTACAAAAATGGTTTCCATTGATCACCTTTCCAGAAGTAACTGATTTCATGAGAGGAAAACAGTATTCTTATATTAAACAACAAATTCTGGATTAAACAAAAGGAAGATGTCTCATCTTATAACCAGTGGACCCACATTATTGAATTTATTAAATAAAAGGCCTTTCATAATTTACCTCTATTGCAGAGGTACAGCTTAAATCTTGAAGGAAAAAGTGGATGGAGGAAACAAAGTCAAACCTAAAGGATACAGAAAAGAAAGTGAAGAGAAAAAGGGGAGTGGTCAAGAGCATAGCATTACGGCCAAACTTCAATAATGGTTGTCATGTATCAACTTGCTGCTCACCTTATGTACTGGGGTGAGCAAATTATGACCTCTTTGGACCTTAGCTTCCTGTAAGTAAAATGAAAATAATAGTATCTATCTCACAGGGTTGCTATCAGAATTAACTGACATGAAACACATATGGGGAGCTTAAAACAGTATACAGTAAAAAGAAAAGCTCAAAAATATAGCTATTATTATCTAATTCCTCTAACAGTAGAGTACACCTAAAATTTATGGTACTACCAGTTTTTCTGTAAGTTGGTTATCTGAAAACTGAATGTTATCCTTCTGAGAAACACTTCAAGCGGAGAGCTTCTGTTTCTTCACAGTCCTGTACTAGTGCCAGCTCTAACAGTTTTGCAACTGCCCACCAATGGTTCTGGTATTCGATGTCAGTCACCATTCAGCCAGCAGTGGTATTTATAAACACGTGTCTTTCTCTTCCTTAAAAGTTCTCAACAGCTCCCTACTGCCTACAAATGGAGAGGTCAATCTCCTTCATATGGCACACAAGATTCTTTACAATCTGGCTTTACCCTCTGTTCCCAGTTTCACTTCCATAACTTCTTTAAAAGCTAGAGCCACAGCAGACAATTCATTGTGTCCTAAATAGCCCATGCATTTTAAAAGACTGCATATGTCACAGTATGTGCTTTTCTCTGGATGACTTAGAAAACTTTTATCTCCATGACCAGACTTAGAAAATTATTCACCCTTCTAAGGCCTAGATGAAATGCCACGTTATTCATTTATTCAACAAGAAAATGTGCCTAAATACTAAAATGTGGAAGGAAGGCCCTATGAAAAACAAATAAGACATAGTTCCAGCATTTGGGGAATCTATAGGAGAAGCTACGTCAAAGTAAAATAAAAACATAGCATACTATGAGTCCTATGCGTAAGACAGAAGAAAACAATGCCTAAGCTGGGTTCTACAGGATATGGATTTCTGTTTCCATTCTTACCATTTTAATTGGACCATGACTGTAATAACTACCTTTACAGTCCTGTGTTTAATATCTATCTTCCCTAAGACTGTAATTCTAGGGCAGAAATTTATTCATCCTTTGTTCCTCAACACAGGGTAAATTATCCAACTAAATTGGATAATTAGGTTTCCACATTATTCAGAACCTTTAATCCACAGTGAAACTGATCTATCATAGCAAGAGAACCTTAGAACCTAATCAGCATTGACAATAATGCACTGAAAAGCCAGAACAGCTCTAATTCGGAGTTATTTGGTACTTGAAGAGAGAAATCTAATTTCCCCCTAATTTGTAAGCAGTACTGGTATTTTGCTTCAAATGTAGGACTGTTTCTCTCTCTGACAACCCCACTGAACTAGCCTATTGAGTTCAAGAAATATCAGAATCAGAAGTTCTAATTCCTGCTCAACACATTGACCGTTTTCTTTAACTCCCCAGGAAGGGGATGAGGACTGTAATTACCTAGGAACCGCAGGAGCACATGACAGTTTTTCTTCTTGGTTCTGGAAGTCCAGGTTTATCCACTCATTCACTTAAAATTTCTGCTTAAAATCCACTATGCAGTAGGCACTGTTTTAGATACTGGGATACAGCAATTCCTACTCTTAGGGAACTTAACATCCCCGCTGGGAGAAACACACAGCAATTATGTCATGCCGGATGATTTGGAAAACACTGAGAGAAATGAAGCAGGCTAAGTCAAAAAGGGAAGGTAGAGAGGCAAGAAGAGAGGCAGTGGTGGTACATTCGATAGGGTGATCAGGGTCCAGCCTTGCAGATAAAGCACTGAGTCTGAGATTGAAGGAAGTCAGGGAGGGAAAGCCATGCAAGCACTTGAAAAATACTCTAGGGGAGCAGCCCGGGTGGCCCAGCGGTTGAGCACCTGCCTTCGGGCCAGGGCGTGATCCTGGGGTCCTGGGACCGAGTCCCACGTCGGGCTCCCTGCTTCTCCCTCTGCCTGTGTCTCCGCCCCTCTCTCTCTCTGTCTCTCATGAATAAACAAATAAAATCCTTTAAAAAAAAAACAAAAAAAAACTCTAGGCAGTAAAGCCAGTTAAGTGCTCAAACTGGCACGAGAGCCTGTTTTGATGTGTCAGACCCCGACGACATCGATGTGGCTAGATCACAGTTAGCAGCTGGTAAGGGGGCAGAGCAGAAAACCATGAGAGAGACCGACCTAGGCTACCTCATGCAGCCTAAGGGCTCTGGACGTTCCTCTGAGACGGGAGGCCACTGCTCCATCCTAAGGAGGGAACTCGCAGGGCCTGAGGTGCTCATGCAGGAACAGCTCTGGCCGTTGAAAAGCTCTGGCTGCTGCTACGGAGCAGCAACCGCCCAGCAGAGGCCGAGGGGTCGCCCGCAACTCCTTGTAACCCAGGAGTCTAATGCCCAGAATGATGGGTACCGGGAGCAGCATAGCATGGTCGCACCACGGCTCAAGGCCTCCAAACAGCTTCCCTGCCTTTCAACAGCCGCTTCCGAGACGTCGGCGGGTTCTTCATGTTCATCCTACTCCCCGCACGTCCTCTTCTTTCCGGGCCTCCGACTGCCAGAGCCACGCGCCCACCACACAAGAGACCACCCATCCTCTCCCCGCTCTCCGGGCCTTTGGCTCGTCGTTCCCTGAGAACCTATTCCACCCTTGTAACTTCGGATACCCGCCCCCCTTTCCTCTTCTATCACTGCAACCTCCTTTTTGAGGCTGTCAGCACCACCAGTTCCGTCCTTTTTTAAAAAAAAAAAAAATCCATTAACAACGAAGGCCAAAATGTCTACTAAAGAACTAGAAATCCAAGAGCATCCGTCCCCTTAACAGCACCTCCCAGCTCCCTCACGGGGCCAAGGTCGCCCCTTCGAGGCCGCCCGAGATCAAACCAGCCGCGACCCCACCGCGTCCCGCGCTTCCCGCGGGGAACTCAACCCCGCCATTCTTCACGGCGGCCAAAGCTCAACCTCACTGCGTTACCTCCACCGTCGGCAGCGTCTCTGCCCTCGTCTTCCAACTCCGAAGCTACTGCCCTGGCTACCATTTGCATCTTCTTCCCCTGCTTCTTCTTTAGGGAATTTTTCGGCTTTTTCCCCACACCCACACGTGAGTCCCGAGCGGCCGCCGCCATGTTTCCCCACCACCGGAAGCGCCCCGGCGGAGCCGCGACCGGTGGCAACCGAAGGAGCTTCGGCGTTTGGTTCCGGCCACAGGAGGTTCCGGGGCGGGGCCTTCCAGCCCGGACTTCCGGGACTGGAGCCCGCGACGGGGATGGGCGGGAGGGAGGACGGAAGGGCGGGCGCCTGCACCTGCCGCCGCTCCAGCCGGGAAGGGCTTGGCGGGCTGAGCTCCCGCGGCCGCCGCGCGCCTCTGCGCCGCCCTAGCGGACGGTGCTGCTTCCGGGTGTCGCTCCCGGGGCCCCGCGGGCGGCGTCCGGGACGAGGATGGAGAAGGTGCCCCCCGCCCGCGGGCAGCGGCAGCGGCGGACCCACAGCGCGGCACCGCGACACCGCGACACCGCAGCCGTCCTCAGCCCGGAGCCCCAGCCCCCCGGACGAACGCTTTCCGCGGCTCCAACCGCAAAACGAATAGGGTCCCCCTGGGTTCGCGGTGGACCCTGCCCTGGCCCCGGCCGACCTGCTGTGCCGACTCCTGCCTCCTCCAGGTAGCGCCCCGCTGAGGCCAGGCTCACGGGTGCACCTGCCTCCCTCCAGGTAGCGCCCCGCTGAGGCCAGGCTCACGGGTGCACCTGCCTCCCTCCAGGTAGCTCCCCCCTGAGGCCAGGCTCACGGGTGCACCTGCCTCCCTCCAGGTAGCGCCCCGCTGAGGCCAGGCTCACAGGTGCACCTGCCTCCCTCCAGGTAGCGCCCCGCTGAGGCCAGGCTCACGGGTGCACCTGCCTCCCTCCAGGTAGCGCCCCGCTGAGGCCAGGCTCACGGGTGCACCTGCCTTCCTCCAGGTAGCTCCCCCCTGAGGCCAGGCTCACAGGTGCACCTGCCTCCCTCCAGGTAGCGCCCCGCTGAGGCCAGGCTCACGGGTGCACCTGCCTCCCTCCAGGTAGCGCCCCGCTGAGGCCAGGCTCACGGGTGCACCTGCCTCCTCCAGGTAGCTCCCCCCTGAGGCCAGGCTCACAGGTGCACCTGCCTCCCTCCAGGTAGCGCCCCGCTGAGGCCAGGCTCACGGGTGCACCTGCCTCCCTCCAGGTAGCGCCCCGCTGAGGCCAGGCTCACAGGTGCACCTGCCTCCTCCAGGTAGCTCCCCGCTGAAGCAGCCACAAGCAGGTGTCCCTCCTCCCTCCAGGTAGCTCCCCCCTGAGGCAGCTTCTGGTAGGTGCCCCTGCCTCCCTTCAAGTAGCTCCCCGCAGAGGCAGCTTCAAGCAGGTGCCCTTGGCTCCCTCCAGGTAGCTCCCCCCTGAGGCCAGGCTCACAGGTGCACCTGCCTCCCTCCAGGTAGCTCCCCGCAGAGGCAGCTTCAGGCAGGTGTCCCTCCTCCCTCCAGGTAGCTCCCCGCTGAGGCAGCTTCAGGCAGGTGCCCTTGCCTCTCTCCAGGTAGCTCCCCGCTGAAGTAGCCTCAGACAGGTCCCCCTGGCTCCCTCCAGGTAGCGCCCCCCTGAGACAGCTTCAGGCAGGTGCACCTGCCTCCCTCCAGGTAGCTCCCCGCAGAGGCAGCTTCAGGCAGGTGTCCCTCCTCCCTCCAGGTAGCTCCCCGCTGAGGCAGCTTCAGGCAGGTGCCCTTGCCTCTCTCCAGGTAGCTCCCCGCTGAAGTAGCCTCAGACAGGTCCCCCTGGCTCCCTCCAGGTAGCTCCCCCCTGAGACAGCTTCAGGCAGGTGCACCTGCCTCCCTCCAGGTAGCTCCCCACTGAGTCCAGCCTCTGCCTGGCACCCTCTCCAGGTAGCTACTGCAATCTGCTCTAACCACTTTCCTCCTAAATTGTTGACTCCTTGAAAATAGGGACCATATTTCACTCACCATTCTGCCCTAAGGTTGCCAAAGCTGGGCCAGAGTAGGAGATCAAAAAATATTTTTGGAAGGAGTGACTTAATGAACGACAGTACAACCATTGACAATGTAAGTAAGTCAGACTAATGATGCAGCAAACCTTTACGTTGTGTTGTGTTGGCCGGACGGATTCTAAAGGCTTTCCCTATGCGTGGCGTTTTCCAAGAATAGGACGCTTCTTGGTTTTCAATATCTAACATCTGCAAAGGAGCGCAGGTTTCTCAATCCCACACATTCCAGCTGCTGTTTATTGGGGGCGGGGTGGGGGATTGTATTTACATATGCCAAACTCAATACATTTTAAAATAAAACAACCGTTTTGTTTTTAACAGTGCAAAAAAATGTTACATTCCAAATACAGTTGGTAAAGATCAAATCCCAGCCTAAATCTTCTGAAAAGTGCAATTATTGTCAACACCAGAAGTATGCATGGGGATGTCCCTTCAAACATTGCTGGGGCCCAAAAATTCTGACAATTCTGCTCAGTGTCCATCTTCCGCTGCCATTTAGTGTTGAACCTGTGCCCTGTTGGCTTTCAAATTTAACCTTTAGTTTGGCCTAAAGTAATATACTGAGTTCAAAACAAAGTTGGGAAAGCATTGGAGAAAATTTTAGAGAAGGAAGCAAACATGAGAAAGAAAAATGATGACGGTGGAAAGGAGGCTGTCTGGCATAGGAAGTAGCATTTGTTAATAATATTGAAGATAAGGGGCGTTCTGAGCATTTTACATCTTAGAATCATGATTTTTGGAGCACCTGGGGGTTCAGTTGGTTAAGCATTGGACTCTTGAGTTTGGCTCAGATCATAACCCCAAGGTGGTGAGATCCAGCCCCACCTCTGGCTCTGAGCTGGGCATGGAGCCTGCTTAGGATTCTCTCTCCTTCTGCCCCTCCCCCACGCTCCCACCCCGAAAAAACTATTATGGTTTATTTATAAGTAGAGATTTACAGATTTACTATGTTCAACCTCAATTTAAGAAATTGCCGGAGGGATAAATTGTTGGTTATTATTCATTCAAATTTTTCTTTTTCATTTTATTTTTTTTTAATTTATTTATTTATTATAGTCACAGAGAGAGAGAGAGGCAGAGACACAGGCAGAGGGAGAAGCAGGCTCCATGCACCGGGAAGCTGATGTGGGATTCGATCCCAGGTCTCCAGGATTGCGCCCTGGGCCAAAGGCAGGCGCTAAACCGCTGCGCCACCCAGGGATCCCCAAATTTTTCTTTTTTAAAGTAACATAAGGGCAGCCCCGGTGGCCCAGCGGTTTAACACCGCCTTCAGCCCAGGGCGTGATCCTGGTGTCCTGGGATTGAGTCCCATGTCAGGCTCCCTGCATGGAGCCTGCTTCTTCCTCTCCCTCTGCCTGTGTCTCTGCCTCTGTCTCTCTGTGTCTGTCATAAATAAATAAAAAATATTTTTTAAAAAAGTAAAAATAAAAAAAAATAACATAAAACAGGCTCCAGATTTTCCTGTAGGAATCTGGTTTGCAGTAAGGAATTACTACCATTAAGTGGGAGATTACTGTATTAACGTATTTAATCTTCACAATAAGCTGGTAGGTTAGGTAGTATTGTTCCTGCTATAAAGATGATGTAGCTAAGGCACAGAAATGATGAAATACTTGCTCAAGGTCACAGCCAGTTAGTGGCAGATTCAAGTTAAAACCTGAGCAGTCTGTTCCAAGGTCTATTTAACCACTGAGCTATATTGCCTACTCAGACTGTTGCCCTGGAGCACTTAACGCATACTTGCTGAGAAAAGACAATAGAAATTTCTGGCAAGCAGTGGAATTCATAAATTAGAAAAAAAGAAAAAGAAATCTCTACCCTTACGATGAACTAAGGTAATTGAAAGTTTTGTAAGTAGGATGTCCAGCTGTATTGGAAATAACCAAAGTCATCTAGATATTTATATGACCTTTTTTTTTTTAAGACAGAGGGCGGAGACAGGCAGGCAGAGAGGGAGAGAGAAGATCTTAAGCAGACTCCACAGCCATCTCAGAGCCCAGTGTGGGGCTTCGTAATATCCTGAGATCATGACCTGAGCCAAAATCAAAGTCCAATGCTTAACCGACTGCGCCACACCCCTGTATGAGCATTTGTATAAACATACCCATGATAGCTGTCAGCCCATTACCTCTCAGTGCCACATTCACCCTTTTTGGCTGCTCTGTGAAAGAACCGGTGGATCCTTTAAATATGTTTCTTTTGCCTACCAGGTTGTTAAGCTTTGTCAGTAGAGGGCACTAGAATGACATTGTAAAAGGGAGGTGCCTTCCTGGTTTTAGTGTGCGTGTCCTTACAGACTCCTACTGTAGCTTCTCTAGCCCTAAACTCCTCTAGTCCAGGTAGCTTCTTCAGCATCTGGTTTCTGGAACGCACAGTGGTCAGTAGCACCCAGTGGCCAGCAGCTTTCTCTGGCCAACCCCCTTCTGTAGTCTCATAGCAGAGCACTTCTAGCAGGACACTTGTCCATGAACAATTCTCTCTGGTACTTTAAAAGCCATCAATTTCCAGAAAAGTCTGGAGGGTAGATTTCCAGTAAGTTTTGCTGGCTCAACACCAGTGAGCCACTGCTATACCCTTTCCAGCAAGGTCTGGACCTCAGTTATGTATGTGAGATTGGTGAAGCACTCCTTCCTTGCTGCTTTATTTCAGCTCTGTGGGTATTCTCTCTTCCTTTTATCTGAAACTACTCTATTCCTTAGAGTTCTCTTGATTTCCAACTAGCCAATCCCTTGTTACTGCAATGCTCTGTTATAGTTAACCATTCTTTATATTAAACTCTCCTATTCAAATTACTAAGTAGCGTCCATCTCTTCATTGGACCCAACAGATACACTAGAATGAGTGATGTGATGAAAATATTATCAGCACCCACATAGTGTCCCTGCCTACCTATAGCCTTGTTAGAAAGTTCCATGGAGGGTTACTCATTTTAGGAAGAATCAGGGGAATTAAAACAGGAATTCCCTTTTAAAACACCAATATTTATACGAGGATAACAAAAATAGTTTCTTCTGAGTAGTTTGTTGCAGCTTGGGTGATGTGAGTACCTTGAAGAGCTCTAAACTAATGGACATGGAACAGATAAGAGGAAAGAGTAATTGCACAGTACATCCCGAGCAGGGGACGCTAGT